GTAAGTACCTAACCAAGCTAACTCCCTTGGCTGCTTTCAAAAAGCACATCCCATATGTCTGTCTAAAAATGATATCATTGTTCCACTAGGTCTTGTCAATACCACATTAACATAACACCCAAATAAAGTGTACTACTTACCAGTGGGCATGTATTCCCACCAACGACCTGCGCAGAGGTCCACAACCTTTACCACCCTCAGGTACAGAGTCACTGCTTCCTTCAGCTTCCGGGAGAGGCATTCCATACACATGATATCCTGCAGGGGAAGGTATCTTTGGGAGAGAAAACAACTCTGTTTACCAAAGACTTTAGTTCATTTTCTCTCACATCAAAGAACATCTAGAGAATTACTACACAAACCCAGACATTCCTAACATCTAAAAAACCATGGGTTCAAATGAGATTTTCACACAGTTCTGTAATGAAGTTTGTAATGCAGCTAGCCATAAGGGGTAGCATTCTGTTAATCAGGCAGCCAATGCACTTAAGGTAACAAAAACCAGCAGTGGCCTTGCCATGTCCCTAAAGGTCTCAGGCACAGAAGGGAGAGTCCGTGATGCATGGTCCTATTTCATTTTTGACTAAATCTTACAAAGTTACCATATTTTGAAAGCTGGAAACTTTCTAGTTTTGGAAGTATGTATTTTAATTCGCTAAGTCATAGAAATTAGAGGTTTGGTTAGTAGCAACTGCTACTGAATTAGCCCCATAATCATGCTTGCAATCTGTATGGACACTTTAAACTTGTCAGCTCATTCAGAGTCTAAGGCTACATCTACATTAGCATGATCTTGTGCAAATACTCTTTAACGCAAGAGTTCTTGTGTTAAAGTATTTGTGCAAGAGAGCTCTGATGGCCATTTTAGCCATTGGGCTTTCCTGTGCAAGAAATTCACGTTGCCTGTCTACACTGGCCAGTTGCGCAAGAGGGCTTATTCCTGAGCAGGAGCATCATAATTCTTGCACAAGAAGCACTGATTTAACACGTTAGAACGTCAGTGTTCTTGCGCAAGAACTCCCTGCCAGTGTAGACAGGCAGCATGTTTTTGCGCAAAAGCACTTGCTTTTGCACAAAATCATGCCAATATAGACACAGCCTAAGAGTATCTGTATAATTGAAATTAGAATGTATTTATTTTTTACATAGAATGAAACATCTGACTAAAACTCTCAGTGGCAGGATCATTCCTGTTCCAATATACCAACGTATATGATAACTGAATTCATCAACCACATTGAAATATATGGCTGCTCACTTTAGAGCATGATCATGTCTGAAATCTGTAGTAAAGAGTGAACAGCAAGACTCCAGTGCCAATAGTAAGGAATCTGTATAAGTGAAAAAAAGTTATGCAACACATTTTAGACATACATCTTAAGGATGTTAAGGACTAGTTGACTATCCAATAAGCAAATGGATTCGACTCCCCTTGCTGCCTCTCTCAACACCGCATAGCTATGCCCAGGATCAGCTGTGTGGCACTGCCCCTTTGAACGCCATCTCCGCATTTCAAAGTGGCAGCACTGCACAGCTGATCCTGGGCACAGCTATGTGGTACTGTCCCTTCGAAACACCAAGACGGCATTCAAAGGGGCAGTGCCATGTGGAGCCCGGGGTCAGCTGAGGACTCCCCAACTGATCCTGGGTTCTGCTGAAATGCTGCACAGTGGGGGCTCTTGTACATTTCAAAGGAGGAATGAGGAAATGCCTATCGACTGGTCGAGTAGTCAATGGAAATTTCATTGACTACTCGACTAGTAAATTAATCAATATTTAACATCCTTAATACATCTACAAAATACAGATTGAATCTCCCTGGTCCGGCATTGTCAGGACCTGACCAGTCCCGAGCTAGAGGATTTATGGGACCAGGGAGGTCTCCTGTTACCAGCCCCAAAGCTTATCACCTGCGGCTGGCAGGCTGCCCCCGCAGGCAAGCCTGCATCACCCTCTCCCTGCAACCTGGCTGGGCTGCTTGCCCGGCTACTACTGGCTTCCTGAGCAGCACAGGCTCCAGCTCCTAATTCAGGGCTCCAGTCCCACACAGCTGGGAGTAGCTGAGGGGCTGGGGCTCCAGCCCTGGTCCCATACTGTCCCCAGCAGAGCTGTCGAACCTGATGCCCCACCCAGCTGGCCCTCTTGCCCTTAGGCTCCCAGGCTCACTGGTCCAGGAGCATCCGTGGTCCTTTGCCAAACTAGAGAGTGCCAGATATTGGCAGTACAACCAGCATTAAGATAACTATTGATTCCAAGGCAAGTAAATAGATAACACTATATCTGCTCTTTTGGTTGTTTCTACATGATATTAAGCAATTTTTATATAAAGTTAGTTTTCAGTGTTCCTATGTCAGAGAATATGAAGTATGTTTCTTGGAGAGCTAACTTATTTATACAGTGTGACCTATATACTTAGTTTTAACAAAACAAAAGTAGAGCCCCACAAGAAATCCCATGTATTTCCTCTATACTATCCAGCAAAACCTTATCCTCTAATGCAGAGGTTCCCAAACTTTTTGAAATGGAGACCAGTAAATCCATTCACGAGCTTTCGGAAGACCGGTAGCATTCATTTGCATATTTGCATATTCATTAAGCAAATGACAAATATGCAAATACATTGTTTTTGGTCCTCCCAAAGCCCCCAGGGCCAGCTTTAGCAAAGCTTTTCATATGGCCACCCACAATATTCTTACCAGCAAGTTAAGGGAATATGGATTGGAAAAATGGACTGTAATCCAATAAAACCCTGCACCACCACATCGTGTATTGAAAAGGGGCTCATTTATTTTCAGAAAGCTGACACCATCTTTGGAATTTTTTATCCATATTCTCATTCCGGATGGTGAATACACCAGGTTCTCTCCATTCTGACACATTGTAGTGCCTTTAAACCTCACTGTCAGCAGTGGGGATATTTAAAAGGCACTGCTTTAAAATTTTTATTCAGGATCTGTGCGCGCTCTGAACTGTCCCGCTCCCTGCTGGCCGATTCTCTCTCCTCTTCCCCCTCCCTTTCCATCCCCAGAATACACCAGGTTCTCTCCATTCTGACACATTGTAGTGCCTTTAAACCTCACTGTCAGCAGTGGGGATATTTAAAAGGCACTGCTTTAAAATTTTTATTCAGGATCTGTGCGCGCTCTGAACTGTCCCGCTCCCTGCTGGCCAATTCTCTCCCCCCTCCACTTCCACTCCTGCCCTGGGCCAGCCCCACTGTCCCCGCCAGACGATTCTCTCCCAATCTCTCCTGGTAAGCCCTGCTGCCCCCGCCAGCCCTGCTTCTGCTGGCCAGTTTCCCCCCCGCTCCCCGCGATCTCCCCTGGCCAGTCTCACTGCTCCCGCCCCTGCAGTCAGCCCTGCTTCTGCCAGTCGGGTCCCCCCTCCCCAGTCAGCCCTGCTTCTGTCAGCCGGTTCCCCTTCCTATCTCCCCCGGGCAGCTCCACTGCTCCAACCCTGCTTCCCTGCGGCCGATATTCAACCCCCCCTCCCCATTCCACAGCCAGCAATAAGAGCTCACCTGGTAACCCTCATTATGCCTCTGCCGGGAACCTGAAACATACGGCTGCATCCGCCCAGCCCGGCTGAGGGCTTGCGGAACCCAGCGCTGCACGGACAGTCTGGGAGCCCAGAACACCCTGGCAGCCACGCTGAGGCCCGGTATCGGGCCACAGCCCATAGTTTAGGAAATGCTACTCTAATGCATACTGACGACTAAATTTAATTCCCATCTGACTATTGGTGGTACAACTAGTATTTTCTGAATACCTACCATTTGATATTTATTTACAGATACTAAAGTGGAAAGGATAGAGTGACAAAAAAATACAACTTCTTACCTAAAAATATGGCAAAGAACTTCATGTGAGAGCTGATTCATATAATCTTTCCGTTCATCTAGTTTGGTAGATTCAGAGCCTTCACTGCTCATGGGGCATGGCTTCACATTTTTCCGTCGAGGCCCCATATTTGCAATGATTTCTGATTAAAAGGATTAAGGTTCACAAGATTATACAAATTCAGTGCAACTAAAAGAGAAAAGATACGAAGAAGGGGACAGGATAGTGAATATTAGTTTACGGAAAGACTCAACAAAACCTGCCACTAAAAATTAACTCTAGAATGCCATTATTCAAATTAATCAATTAAAAAGTGGACAAGTCTCTGAGGGGTAGCCATGTTAGTCTGTATCTGCAAAAACTATGAGCAGTCCCGTGGCACCTTAAAGACTAACAGATTCATTTGGGCATAAGCTTTTGTGTGGGTAAAAAGCACTGTGCGATGTACTGCAGATGTATGCATCTGACAAAGTGGTTTTTATCCATGAAAACTTATGCCCATCTGAATCTATTAGTCTTTAAGGTGCCACAAGACTCCTCATTTTTAAAAAATGGAAGGATTGTTCTGACAAGACATAAATGAACCTGCCTTGCATATGAAGCTGGAAAGAAAAAATCCAGCCAAATGAATTAAGACTAACTAGAAAGTCCCATTGAACCCAGGAAAATTAATAAACAGAATACCAGCTGGACGTCGTATGCAAATGCATCAGTAGATTTAAATATAGGTCATTTCCTTAGTAACTTCTTTCAAATTAAGAAAACAATAAAATGTCTTTGGAAATACCACCCCACATATCAATAAGCTCAGGCATCTCATGCAAAATAGAGGCAGGAAATTACTAAACAAAGTGGACACATATCAGCATACTAGCTCTTAGGGATGTAATCGGGGTTACCTGATAAGTATTACCCATGACGGGTGATGCTTACTGACCCACCGATTAACTGGCGCTCAGACCAGTCTGAGCAGTCCGCTGCCTACAGTGCAGAAGGCTATGCCTGGCCAGGTTCGCAGCAAACAGTTAATTGGTTCATAGAGTTTAACACTTTAAAAATGGAATTTACATCCCAACTAGCTCCAAAAGCAAATTATTTTGTTTTACAATAGTGCTTAAAGTTCTTAACTTCGCAATGTTGCATATTTAATATCTATGTTTAATGTTAAATTTTTGACTCACTGTATTTCTGTAAATGTTGTTTCACCATCATTTTATATCTAATCTGAAATACATCTGAATTAACGATGCTGCTTTTTCTGCTACGGAAATAATTCAAACTAAATGTTAGCAATTTTTGCATTCATATTTTAAAGAAAAAGTGCTATGTTTATTACCTCTAATTAAACTGTTACCTCACAGAAATGAATAGCATGAGGCAGGAAGACTTCACATGCTTGCTAATGCTGTTATTAATTTCAAGACTTTTTTTTCTGGACAGTGATGTTGACAGAGCAGAGTTTAACCAGTTAACTCTGTCACAGATTTAACTTCTACCAGAAAGAGATGAAAACATTTCAGGAATGAAAGAGCAGAATTTCCAGACTGCAACTGGAATTGTTGACAGATTCCAAACCATCATATACACAAGCTTTGGACAGTGTATAGTCTCTGCAGATCATGATGGTAAATCTTTATTTTTACAGAACTCTAGGGGGTGGTGTCCCATGATCACAACGCTTGCCAACGCCCATGTCTTTGGGGGGTATGCAGCCCTGGCTCCCCCATGCCCGGCCGCTATGAGGAGCAGCAGCCTCGGTCTGCCCCCTCCTCCCAGCCACCGGGTGAAGCATGGACCAGCTGCAGCTCTCCCCTCTCCAGCCATTGGGCAGGGCTGAGGCCCGTCTCTCCCCCACAACCTGTACTTCAATTTCATCCCCCACCTCAATTTCTGCACTCATCATTCTCCCTAATCTCTCACCCCTCCCTACACTGCCTATTCCCATCCTTCCCATCCATCACCTCCGTTCCTACACCCAGTTATCCTCCCTATCCCCACCCCACACTGACTAACCCAACCCTCACCTCCTTCCTCCATTCCTACACCCCCATCCTTCCCTAACCACTCCTCATCCCCACACTGCACATTCCCTTGCCTTGATTCCTATATCTCCCTCATCCCTACCATCTCCCTTTACCGCACCGCCCATCCCCCCCCACACCCTATCCCCCTTCCGCTCCCCTACAGACACCTTGCATACCCCTTCCTCCCCCAAAAGCACCACCAGGCTAGGCAGCACAGCCCCGGCCACCGCAGCAGGAGCCACAGCCTGCCTCCAACCTCTAGCCCTTTCCTCTGTGGTGAGCCCAGGGAGCCTGGAGCGCAGAGCTGGGGTGCAAGATATGCCCAGCTAATGTCAGGCCCAAGAGTGTGCACCTGAGCCCAGGCCAAGCAGAGCCAAGCCATGTGGCAGGTGTGTGGGCCAGGCAGGCTGGGGCCCAGAGACAGGTGGACATTGCTCCAGGGACCACGCGGAGACAGAGCTCCTGAGAGCGTGTTGGCACAGGTCACCGGCACATGACAGAGCTGCTCACTCGGGGGAAACCTACAGCGTGGTTCCCAAGCACTGTGGCTGGGCCACACAGAACAAAGATGCAAGGCAGGCACTTGAGCAAGGCAGACTGGGGTGGGGCCTAGAGGCAGGTGGACACTGTTCCAGGGAGCACACAGGGATAGAGCCGCCATCCCCCGAGCGTGTTGGCACAGGTCACCGGCACATGACAGAGCTGCTCACTCGGGGGAAACCTACAGCGTGGTTCCCAAGCACTGTGGCTGGGCCACACAGAACAAAGATGCAAGGCAGGCACTTGAGCAAGGCAGACTGGGGTGGGGCCTAGAGGCAGGTGGACACTGTTCCAGGGAGCACACAGGGATAGAGCCGCCATCCCCCGGGGCTCCAGAGAGGAAAGAGGGACGTGATGATGTCACTCTGTCGTCCCACGGGAAATTTTTTTTTTTTATACATAAGACACAGATTTTTTTTTTTTTTTTTTTTTTACACAGAACATTATTTTTGTTCAATTTAATCCATACAAGACTAGCTGTAGGTCTTTTCCACAAGAAAATGAATGAAGAACAACAAACATTGACAGGAAGTCTTGGAGCAGGTAGACATGAAAATACTTCGAAAACATTTAAAGGTGACTAGAGTCAAAATTCATCATTTCGGTGTCGTTAGTATGTAAGCACTATTTCTAAGCTTCACAATATGCAAAAATATATTTTCCTTCAGTTTTCCATGAACTAAAATTCATCTTTTGGACAAGACAAAATATAAAATTGCAACCAACAAGGAGTGCATAAAAATATGAAGACAAGTACAGTATTAGAGAAGTAGCCGTGTTAGTCTACATCTATGAAAAAAATGAGGTGTCCCATGGCACCTTAAAGACTAGCTGATTTATTTGGGCACAGGCTTTAGCGGGCTTTTACTTGACAGCTTACTTGTCAGCTTTTGAAATAATTCCACAATAGCGTTATACCGCCACCACCGGTTACAACATATTCAATTATAATATTGCAGCATTTTTCAAGTGTACAAAACTAAGTAAAAACTGCCCATAAACAAATGTGATATTACTCTATTTAACTTGTCCAATCTGATAGATTACTACATGTAGTAAGTACATAACATAACAAAGGAATCTTAGGTTTACAAAACTGATATTAAGGTTATTTGCAGCAAATCTATTTGGTGAACACCTTATTTTGCTGATATACTGCAAATTGCTCTTTATATGCCCATCAGCTTGCCTTTGAAATATACTTATTTTTAAATATTAAGTATATCTGTAACCATAAGATTACAGTACTATTCCCACACAGGTCCAGGAAATCACATTCTTTACACTTTCACAAAAAGAGGAAGACACAGGCCACCTAAATATTTTATCACCTCCTAATAGGCAAAGATCAGGAATCCAAACTGAGCACCCAGCACATTTTCCAAACAAGAATTCCAAGCAGGATCTAGAGATACTGAGGGACTTTGGAATATATTTCTATAAATGGGTAATTAAGTTTCTCTGTGCTTTACAGATTCCCAGTGAATTTCACCATACTCCTCCAGCTAGGACAGACAGCAGCAGAGAATGGAAAACATTTCATTTTCTACATAAACTTTAACATATTGCTGAGCTTTTTTCTAGTGATGAGTGTACTTTAAATTAGATCTCCAGATCTTCTCACTGAGACAGAAAAAACTTGTAGTCTCCTTACAGTAGTATGGGGCATCTGGGAACAACTGTGGGGAATAGGTCTCTACATACAAGTTTTTAAAATCAGAACTTCAAAACAATCCATACATATTTCCTTGATATTTAAACCAACTGAGCAGAAATACAGAGAATTCTATTCTTAATTTAATGTAGTCAAAGAAAAACAAACAAAAAACCCCAAAAATGATTCTACATGAACAATGGTTTGATTTTTATATTTTGTCAATAAGTGACTTTTGTGTTCAACTAATGGGTTTGGAAAACTTGTGTTTTGATTTGTAACAAGTAGACATGTCAGCTTAGCTTCCTTGGAAAAATAAACTGAGTGTTGTTTTAAAAATAACAGCAATTCTAGAATCAGTGAACCAGCAATTCTAAGTATTGTAAAACTTGGAAGCACTAACCTGGAAAACAAAGGGAGCAAATATGTAGTCACAACTGAGACTATTTAAGGAGAATCACTTATACAGCAGGCAAAAAAGCCAACGTAATATAAATAATCATGAACAACCATCTTCTAGAATATCTGATATTCACATTAATGTATCTGCTTTTGAGGATTTGGGGGAAGGGACATGGCAACATGAAGGGGGAAGGAGAAATATTCTCCTGTAACTTATTTTCAGTGGCTTATGTTTCTATTGCATCCTGTCTCTAAGAGGAGTAAATTTGTCCACCTTTTCCAGGTGGTACTTTCAAAAAGACAGCACTATTTTTCAGGCCGGTATTATGTTGTGATGCATTAACCCACTTTATTTAAAGTAAGAAATGAGAAAAAGGGGAGAGCAATTAGAGAGCACCCCCACCCGTCTTAGCTTTGGCAGGAAAAGGCAGAGCCTGGCACCCAGAGGGATGAAGCATGATCGCCCCGGCAGCAGAGGACGGGGAAGCGAGGACACAGGGGAAGCAAACCCCCAAATAAGTGGGAAGACCACGTGAAAGTCGCTCCCTCTCCGTGGCCGGGGGGACTCACCGAAGCAGGGCGAAAGGTCACCCCGACTCCGGGTCTCCCCCCGGCCACAGCAGATGGGAAAGGCCCCTCTAGCCCCATGCCCAGGGGCCGACCAGGCGAGAGGTGAGTCAGCCAACTCCCCCGCAGCGGACTCCGGCTTCAGCGGCCGCAAGGGCCATCGCCGCCTAGGCGCAGCTCACCGCACTCGCGGCGGGGGTGCGGGAAGCCCGAACCACCGCACGTAACTCTAAACCGCCACCTTACCTGGCCGCCAGTGCCGCCTATTATTGTGGCTGCGGGGGGAGGGATAACCCCGACAGACACTTCCGGCCACTCCGCGCTTCCGATTCCGCTAGTGTCCGCCGCGCTTCCGGTGCCTGCTGCCGGCACTGGGAAAGTCGTCTTCCGGTCGACCTTGCTGAGCTGCCATCTTGGGTGTGGCACTTTGGTTCTATTTCCGTTGTGTCCCCAAGGGCCGCCATCGTACTTGTGGTCTGTAGGGGGGCGGAACATCTTCCCCTGCTCTGTGTAGGCGCTGAGAGGCGGGGCCGAAGGGGACGTGCGCCACTACCGCTATCGCTGACACCCAAGCTGTGTCCGGTTTTGCTGCTAGGTAGGAGCATGCTCAATCTCCAG